CAGCTCCCGGCGTGCACTGCAAAGGCCGGTCGCCTTCCTTCGCCAGCATCGACAGATTCAGCAGCAAATAGACGCGAGAGACCGCCCTCTGGGAGCCAATCCCCCAGGAGAAGGGCGGGCCCGCCTGCGGCGTACTTCCTCGCGTCATTCCCCCTCAGCCAGTGGGAGTGTCCGCAACGAGCGGCCTCGGCCCCGCCCCCAGCCCTGGCTCCTGGGTTCCGGGTCCCAGGTCCCCAGAGAGGTGAGTCCGCTGCAGGTGGGCGCGGGGTCCTGGGCCGTCGGCGACGTTGCCGCCTTAGGCGTTAGCCCGCGGGGCTCGCACGCAGCGGCGAAGTTGAGCCGCGCGCCGGAGAGCCGCAGCTTCGCCCAGCTGGAGAGCCGCCGGGGCGCCCTCCGAGGCCGGAGCGGGCGGGCCTGCCGGGTGTCGGGAGCTAGCGGCCGCCGCACTCCTCCTGCCTTGCTGCGAGCTGGGGGCTTCCGCGCTCTCCGTGCCGCCTGCCCCGCACCTCCCGGCGAGATGCTCGAGGTCGGCGCCGCCCGGGTGCTGGGGAGGTGGCGCAGGCCACCTGTGTGACAACTTGAACTTTTCCTGGGCTTTCCCGACCGCCAGTTGGGTCACGTTGCGCGATCCCTATGAGTCCTCGTGCGTTTATCGATGAAATAAAAGCATTTTCCTCCAGTTCGTTTCAGGACGTTATGACTTTGCTCCATTTCGAGACAGTTGAGGAAACTGCCAGAGGGACAGACTCTCCTCACCGTCAGGCCGTGTGTTGTTCTCGGAAGCTTGGGGCCTGTGTGTGCCCCGCCCTCCGCAGCATCTTGCTGACATTTAGAGAGACTTCTGCAGAGCCATGAGCCCGAAGGCCTGAGCTGCTTCAGAGGAGAGAGAGCCTTGTCTCTTGAGCCCGAAGATGGCGGCTAAGATGGAGATAACTTTGAGCTCGCAGTCCCACATTCAGGCTTCCAACAAGCCAGAGAGACACATAATAACAAAGCTGGAAGACAGACGGGGACCCACTCTGCAAAAAGACCGCCCCGATCCTGAGCTCTCCCGTCAGAGCTTTCGACGGTTTTGTTATCAAGAGGTGTCTGGACCCCAAGAGGCACTCTCCCGGCTCCAGCAGCTCTGCCGGCAGTGGCTGCAGCCCGAGCTGCACACGAAGGAACAGATTTTGGAGCTGCTAGTGCTGGAGCAGTTCCTGAACATCCTGCCTCCGGAGATCCAGGCTCGGGTCAGGCATCGATGTCCAATGAGCAGCAAGGAGATTGTGACCATGGTGGAAGATTTTCAAAGAGCAGCCAAGAGACCAAAGCAGTGGGTAAGGAGGCCCCTCTCTCGTGGTCGCCTTTTTTCATCTGGATAGTATCTGGTCTCTGGATCCCTCCCTAGTTACTCAGAGTCCAGAAATGGACCTGATGGCGTCAAATGTTTCTTCTGGCCTCTATTTGGGAACCCCCCCAGGAGATGTAACAGGTTTTTAGAAAACCCAGGCACCAGCACTCCAGTGAGAAAGATAAGGATCAAGTGCAAGGATCCTTGCATTTTTGCCCACACATCTCCCCACACCCATTCCTCCTGAAGTTTTCCTACAATCAGGATTCTTAGCAGGCAGGATCATCTTGTTGTGTAGGAATTTGATTTGGGGGGAACTTTGTGGTGGACCATGCTTCGGTGATGTGTCTTCCCTTTGGATCAGGAAGTTGCAGCTCACTTACTTGGCCAGTATTTCTTCCAACCCCCACCCCCCAATTCAGACCCCATTCAGGGCCTAGGCAGGAAGCAAATAACCATGTGCTTTGAGGAATGGAGGCAGTCAGGGAACAGGGTAGGCAGTCCTCTCCTAGCCCTACTACTACTGAGATCTCCTTATCAGGGAAGCTTTGGGCAGAACAATTTATTAGGTATGGGTGTTTTTTAATGGTCTTATCATATGCTTCCTGATCCAGTGGGGTCTGTTTCCAATAGAATCTGCTGGGTGGGTGACATAGGGTGGACTTAGGGTGAGACTCGGGTGTCTGGATGGACATAGGGTGAGAATCTGCTAGGCTAGTGTCATGACTGACCCTGTTATCTGTGCCTTCTCTCTGATGAGTTTGAGGCCCTGAGAAAGACCCGTTTAGAGTTAACCACTCAGGAAGTCTTGGCTGATTTGAAGCAGCCTCCATGGATTAGGATTAGTCCCCCTAATCATTCTGCATGTCCTTCCCTTTGCTACCTTTGAGAGTCTTCATAGTCTCAAAGTTGGCCTCCAGGCTGTTGTCGGTAATTCCCAGGGTAAAGGGATCATTACAGAGCAGTAAGAGGTTAAGCTGCCCCCAGTCAGTCCTCTAGCTGCGCTCTAATGCATGGGGCTTGTTCCTAGGTGGCCGTTTGTATGCAGGGGCAGAAGGTGCTCTTGGAGAAGACTGGATCTCAGCTTGGAGAACAGGAACTGCCAGACTTTCAACTGCAAACTCCTAGGAGGTATCCCAGGGAGAGCTCTCTGGAGGAGCCATCCCAGGCAGGATCTCAAGATCAGCTGAGCTCTCATCATTGGGAAAAATCCCCGCTCTTTCAGGAACCAAGCCCCAAATTGGCTGGCACAGGTAAACACTCTGTGCCTCTTCTCTCCCTCTCCTAAGTTCTTTACCTCCATCAGAACATCTTGTGGTTCTGAAACACCATAGACTGCATGTTGGGCTTTTTAATGTTTTATGTAACAGTAGATCTTTATTCCTTAACAGATTTCATTGATTAGAATAGCAGGGACAGTGTATATAAAAAGCATGGTTTTATCATTTTCTGTTAATGACTCTTTGACAATCTGTTAATGACTCAGTGACAGTACATAACAGGATTATCTACTCTGCCCCCTTCAGAGCTTCTTGTAGTGAAGACAGATCACATATGACCACTGATGAACTTGCATACAAACTGTGGCTGAGTTTCATCGCTTAAAATGGTCCCATGTTGAGAAGGGGCCTAAAGAATGTTATACTCATTAGAGGAAAAGTCCTGCTCCGTATTATTTTCTGCCTCTTCCTCCTCCTTGACATTGTCTGTGCTTTAAACCCTGTGTCCATTTCCCTGTCTGTGGTACAATGCCAGTCATTGCTGGCCCTGCTGTGCTCAGTCTTGTGATCTCTAAGACTGAATAACAGAGACACTTTGGCCAGTCTTAGTGATGTGAGTAGAGGGGATGGTCAGCAGGTTAGAGAATGTTACCAGAAGGCTGGAATGCCTTGATTTCCTTAAGGTTTGCTACAATCAGTGAAACACTTCAGTTTGGTTATTCTTGGAACTTAGGAATGGAGCAGACCTGGGGCATCCAGCGGAAAAGCACTGTGACCCTGGCTGAGGTCCTGCCCCATAACCTATGGGCTTTGTGGTCCTGAGCACGCACATTCCCTTTTCCTGGCTCATCGTAGGCAGCTCAGTGGGCGTGCAGTCTCCATCTCCTTTTATTTGATCCCCAAAGGTAGATTCTCATGTTCCTCACCCCTAAGATCCAGTACTGCCTTCCTTCAGAACTGCACTGCCCAGTAAGTTGCCAGTGTCCACATTATGGCTATTTAATTTTTATTTATGGAGATATAATTCCCATACTATAAGATTCACCCCTTTGAAGTATACATTTCAGTGGTGTTTAGTACATTCACACACTCGTGTGACCATCCCCATCTGTCTAATTCTTAAAAATGTTCATGACCTCAAAAAGAAACCCAGACCCCTTGGCAGTCATTCTCCGGTGCCCCTCCTCCGGCCCCTGGCAACAGCCATCTATCAGCCATCTTGTTTCTGGATTTGCCTATTGTGGGTATTTCAGAATCATATATGTTGTGCTCTTTTTTGACTGCTTTCACTGAGAAGGTTTTCAAGGTTCAACCATGTTGTCACATGTGTTACTCCTTCATCTTTTTTACGGCTGATACATCATTATATGGACATTTTGTTTATTCATTAGTTGATGGTCGTTTGGGGTGTTTCCATTTTTTGGCTATTATGAATAATGCTTCTATGAACATTTGTGTACAAGTTTTTGTGTGGATATATGTTTTCATTTCTCTTGGCATATACCTAGGAATGGAATTGCTGGGTCAGACATTAGCTCTCTTTTTAACCTTTTGAGGAAACGCCAGACTGTTTTCCAAAGTGGCTGCGCCATTTTACATTTCTACCAGCAATCCCTGTGAGGACTCTTAATTTCTCCACATCCTTGTCAACACTTGTTGTTGGTGTTTTGGTTATAGTAATCGCATTAGGTGTGAAGTGATATCTCATAGAGGTTTTATTTCCCTGATGGCAGATAATGTTGAGCATCTTTTCTTGTATTTATTGGTCAGTTGTATATCTTCTTTGGAGAAATATCTATTCAGATCCTTTGCCCATCTCTAAATTGGGTTAGTCTTTTGTTGTTGTTTTTTTTAAGATTTTATTTATTTATTTGAGAGAGAGAATGAGAGACAGAGAGCACGAGAGGGAAGAGGGTCAGAGGGAGAAGCAGACTCCCCGCTGAGCGGAGAGCCTGATGCAGGACTCGATCCTGGGACTCCAGGATCATGACCTGAGCCGAAGGCAGTCGCTTAACCAACTGAGCCACCCAGGCGTCCCTAGTCTTTTGTTGTAAGAGTTCTTTATATATCCTGGATACTCTACCCCTACATATAATTTGCAAGTATTTTCTCCCACCCTGGGTTGTGTTTCACTTCCTTGATAGTATCCTTTGAAGCACAAATGTTTTAATTTTGATCAAGTCCAATTTATCTATTTTTGTGTTAATTTGCTTGTGTTTTGGTGACATATCTAAAATACCATTGCCTAATCCAAAATCACAAAGATTTACACCTATGTTTTGTTCAAAGAGACATTGGTTTAGGTCTTCTATTTAGGTTTTTGATCCATTTAGAGTTACTTTTTGTATGTGTTGTGAGGCAGGGGTCCAACCTCACTCTTTTGCATGTGGAAATCCAGTTGTCCCAGCACCCTTTATTGAAAAGACTATTC